GGGGGGAGTTCGCGGGGGCCCGGGGGTGAGAGAATGTGCTCCTCTCACCTCAACGCCTTGACCTCTACTCCCACTCGACTGCAGCCTGCGCCAGTACCTGCCTGCGGGCGGGGGCGCGGCCTGGTTTAGTCATGCCCTGAAAAGTGTTTCGGGCGAAAGGTATACTTGCATGTTGCTAGTTTACGAAGGAAGGCATTATTTCGTAAACAATGGGAAATGTTTTCTATCCTCCTTTTCGAATTACCGACTAACGCAAGGCTGTAAAAGTTCAAGTGTGTCGTGGCCCTGCAAGGTTGAGGCTTGCCACTTGCTTTGCTACCATAGAGTGACACTGCGCATACGTAGGTCACCTCTCCGTGAAGCACAGAAAGCTAAGCGATCGAAGCATGAGCAGACGAAACCTTAAGCGTTTCTTACGGACTAGAATACTTTTGGTCATTGAGCTAGATGTGCACCTTAACCCTTAACCTCTCATCACCAGGGGCCCTCAAATCTATGCCAATTACTGAGGAGGGGGGAAGGGGGAGTTTCTTCCTCATCGTTGAGTCGCCGCGCGACAGCTTGGAGGTCTTTTAAGGCCCGAGCCGTACATGACCATGACTTTAGGTCGGTAAAGTCGCCTAGGCGGCGCGTGACAGGACGGGTGACGCTGGCTGGCGGCGCACTTCGACGAGCTCTCTTCTTCTTTGCTCAGCCATTGAAGCACTCGCTGGGCGCTGCTGCGTGCTGCGCGCCGCCGCGCCTCGCCTTGCAACGCCTCGTGAGGGTTACGTAACCTCTGCCGCGCGGCTCGGCTCGGCTCGCCCGCAACCACTGCAGCACCACTCGCTGCACACACACATGCACACACACACACACACAGACGGGCGCGCGCGCACACAAGCAGACACACACACACACACTGCTCTTCATTCTTCTGACCAATAATGCAATGCGACCTGGCCCGGCCGGCCGAAGGGGTTGAAGCGGTTGTAGTGGTGCGGTGGTGACATAACCATACACCATAGACCCCCCCCCTCCCCTCCCCTATTTGGTCGTGACGTATGTGAGTCGGGTGCGGCGGTCACTGACACACACACACACACACACACTCAACTATCGAGACGTCGTCGACCTATAACCCATAACAACGACCAACCGCCCACAGACAAAACGTGCGCCAGGTGAGGAATGGTCACGGGCTGAGAGACTCAGTCGTCGGTGCGTCGCACGCGCGGCGCTACGCTACACACACATATATATATACACACACACGCAGCGTCACATTGAACAGCCCCCCCCCCTCCTTGCAGAATAGTATAGAATGAAACAGACCTAGGCGCTTTGTTTACGTTCAACCCTAGACGTCGTCCCCGTCACGCCGCCCCGCCCCTAGTGTGTTGTGAGTGCACACACACACACACACACACACACACACACACACACACACACACACACACACACGAGCGCGCGATTACAAAATCGTAAACTTATGTCGTCGGGAGTCGCTCCAAAGCGCTGAGCTGGGATTATCAATCATCGTGACTACAGCAAGGCTGCGCGGCCCATCACCTCAAAACCAAAACGCACTATACGACTCGCGGCGATAATGGAGGCATTGTGTAGAATAGTACTTTATTAGGGTACTCTTTTAAGAGGACTTGCTTTTAAGTCCCGATTAACAAAAGGGCACCGGCTCCCTCAAATGTATACAAACATAAGGGGCATAATGGGCATAAGTAGGCGTCGGATCAGAGAGCGGTGACATCGGGTGACACCGCGAGTGGACTGAATATAAGTACAACTTGGGGGGCGTTATATACTCGAGCGCGAGCGGAAGAATGTACGTATGGGGAGTTTTTTTTTTATTCGTGTCGTTTTATTTTATTTTTTCGTCACGGGGCCGAAGATGTATATAGGAAAACGGGACATGTGTTTGGCCGATGTGGGCTGAGCGCCGCCGAGGCACGTCTCCCGTCCGCGTCCGCGCCGTGGTGGGCGTGAGCCTCGCCATGAGCCGCGTGCGAGTGAGAGAGAAGACGATATAGGCAGGGCGGTGTGAACGTGAGAGAGGGAGAGAGAGAGAGAGAGAGAGAGAGAGAGAGAGAGAGAGAGAGAGAGAGAGCGCGCTAGTGTGCAGCGGCGTGATAGAGGATAGCACGGCCGACCTCGGAGCGAGCGGGCGGGGCAGAAGAGGAACGCCATTCATGGCCGTACGCTGCAAGAAAAATAATAAAGAAATTTATACACACCAGCTAAGTGTATAGCTAAGCAGCTTAGTCGGGATTTTGTTTACTCTGCTTCTATTCCACATCCTTTCGAGTATCACAATAAATGTTTTGAAACAAAACGTAAGCGTAGCACCGATCAAGAAACGTTCGGCACTTCATGTCTTATTCATACATGGACTTGATGGTTCAGTGACTTTTGGTTTTGGTACTTTCGAAGATTTTAGAAGATTGTTAACGCCCCTTTGGGAGCATCATCGGCTGGCGGCAGCGGAGGCCACAACACCACGTGGATGACATGTCCCCTGTGTGCCGTCACATCATCCCCGAGGCCTCATTGCAGCGCCACCGTCAAGGACAGCCTAGGTGGGCTCAGCCGGGGCGCAGAGCGACAGAGGTGCTCTGCAGTGACCACACTGTGGTCGCGCTTGGCTGCCAGGCCGACAGGACAGGAAGGCTGCTACTGCCACACCGTCACGGCCGCCCATCACAGTGGAAGCCCCAGGTCCCAGGTCCGGCCTTCTACACTTGTGGCGCGCGCACCCTAACAGGATCGCTCAGCGAAGCTTCAGAGGACGGGGGTGGCTCGTACCCAAGGGCCCCTGATGCGCCGAGTATAGGCAACCCGCCCACACTCGTGCATGCGGCACAGTCTAGCGCGCGATGATCACCCAGCGAAAATCCCATCCTTGTAATAAAGCGATAAACTTGGGCATGAATGTAACTTGTAGATAAATATACAAAAGTGCGCAGGGATAATCAGCCGTACCTGGTAGCGTATACGCTTGCAACAACAGTCTTACTGGTACACCAGATATGGTGTGTATCATCGGGCCATAACGCGGAAAACACGGCCCAAGAACATGAAAAATTTCTGTCAGCAGCACCAGCGGGGCGCCGGGTGGGCCCTCCCTCGCCACGGCTTCAGCAGGCCCGGCCCGGGGTGGGTGGCGGGG